ACTGTAATTAATAGTTCTCGCAATTGCCGCTGGGGTCGTAATTGATGCGGCGGTGGCTTGGCGGTCGGAGTCCGAGTTGTTAATTGCCGCGATTTCGTCATCCGTGTTGGATGTTCGTGTGACGACAACACTCTAGAATGAAAAAAACATTCTGTAACTGCAAAATCAGGACCGGGTGTAGCGACTGCATCTTCCTATATCATCGCAAACCTGTCGCGCAGTTGGAGATTGCGTATCGGGAAATCGTGGTCCATTTTGCACTGGATCATTGAGCTCCTAAGACTCCAGGACCCAGAATCATCTCTGGATCCGACTTCAAATCATCGACCCACTCATTTATTGGCCACCGCGGAAGGAGGGTCGCCGTCTGAGACCGGCGAAATCCTGAGCATCTGCAAGGCACCAAGTACAGCGATATTTCATAATTCACGAATTTCCACGGGATCCGCCAACGTCAGTTAGCAAATGCATTGGTTTGTGTTCAGGCAAGCAAAACACGGAAGCTCTGTCTTACTGGCTTTGAACAAAGCGATTTTATGTGTAGCAGCATATACTTAAATATTTATACCCTGATGAACCCCTCACTGTCCGGCCCTTAGTTTCTTTCTAACTTAAAGCGCAAGCGTATGGAAGATGGCAAAAAGTTTTCAACATCTGGCCACTTGCACTTTGGCTGTGAAAGCTTCGGATATGTGATTAGAAAATTACTGCACCTGCCTAGAACAGTTTCTACTCAAGTGCTGTAGTCGATTCGGATCGGGAGTGGTTTGTCCTACTTGGAGGGCGGTGATTGGAGCGGTATCCCTGGCTTACAGTACGTGACCTATCTCGTGAAATATGATCAAAAACAGCGGAAATAGCCTCAATGTATAGAGAATGGCATGTTCTTGCGTTTACGGTAGAAAAATATTAGTATTGCTTAGGAACATGAAAGAAACCGTCAAAAGTGTCAAATTTTTACTTGGCCTCGCCGTGTAAAAATGCAAAGTACACAGAGATCCGTCAACGGAGTGCAGTAATAAAGCATTTCTTAAAGAGGTAATTCATTGTGGAAAGTTTTCTTATTGATGGAAGGCATATTTGTTGGTGTCTTTCGTTATGGACAGTAATTTTTCTCAAAAATGATGTTTGATGTTTGAATGGGTCTTCAAATGTGACCCAAGCGACCATCTTCGTGAAAAGGAGCCCCCGAACACTTAGTAATTCGGTAAATGCGTGTCCCGACCAACAGTTCTACCTCTTGTCGTTTTTTTAATTTCCTCAGAAATTATCTAAAAAGTTGGAGTAGATCAGTTTATTCAAGGTCTAAAGGCTCAGACTGAGAATTTCATACATGAATATTTGGGCCAAAGTCCATCAGCCGCAGCGGGTAACCGCATAATATTTATTAACTGCCGACAGGCAGCTTATAGTTTACTTTATGTAAAGTGATACCATACTAACAGCGTATGGGCTTTTGGCTAGTACCCGTACTGTTAGTATGCTATCACCATACCCTAAAGTTCTACCTCTGTCCCTGCTGCTAGGAAGCACATGCATCGGGTTCCACGACTTTCTAAAGAGATGTTCTGACAAACGATCTCAGTCCTGCGTGTAGGAGATGCAGAATCGGATGTTGGTCTTCTGCCAATAACACTGTCTACCTTCCAGCACCAACTATAGGATTGCGTAACTAATCATCCATCTACGGCAGCAAGGCGGTAGGTTCAAAGGTTGTTTTTGGACCTAGGATGGCATCTTTTTGATTTTTGAGAAGCCGACACCAGTCAGCTTGCCTGGTGAACTCTCTTCTTGCGTGGAGGAAAGTTTCGGTGATAAGCCATTAAGACAATGGGAGCTGACAGGGCTGTCTGCTGTCAGAGAAAATGGGAATTGTTCATAATTTCGCGGCGTAGAGAAGCGGGCAATCACAACTGTCGTTTCGCATTTAGCTTAACAGATTGGCTCAAAAGTCTGACAGGAATTCAGAACAATACGAGTTTGCTGATGTGGAGTTGAATCAGGAAAGCTGCACGATCTAGGCACTAGGGAAACCCAACTAAAGTCCCAAGTCCGATAAGTGTGGGATGAAAAGTAGACATTTTTACTAGAGCAACTCGCGGTTTTACCCCCAGAGAATATTTTGTCGTACAAAAGGTAAGCTAACTCACGAAATGTCAACCGAAATTCCCAAATGCGTTTTCGCTTCAAAAAGATTAATTAAGTAGAGTTGTAAAAAAGGTCACCATGCAGCGTCATTCTATAATAATTGGATTACCTCAGGACGCCGGCTATCGAAATAACTTCTTTCCGGCTGCACGCAATAACCATACTTTGTAAAAAACGACTACCTAAGTATCATAAATTTTTCTCGTTGATTGTCGGTGCCTTTAAAAATTCAACTATCTTTCCTGGAAAACACGCATAAAAATATCTATTCTCTTGCTCAGTCGGTAGATATTGACGTCTTCTTTCAATTTAATACCCTAAGGGAGGGTATAGTTCGGTTTTAAAAGTTTCTAATTGTGAGACTTTTTAATACCGTGAAATGACCGTTCATAAAAGATCATGTCTCTGCAAATACCAATGCACCTTTTAAAGTTAACAATATAGCTTAACTGCATTGCTACATTTTATGAACCCCTCTCAATACATTTTTTGATTTTCCGTACGCAGAAAATACGCGGCCTGTAGTTTGCAAACCCTGAATGCAAGTGTAACGGCAGATCAAGTTCAAAATTTTTCCGGAATTCGAAAAGTTTTTGAAAACTGGGTTATACCTTGCGTTCGGGTATAACGTTAAAAGAAGACGTAATTTTCTTCCGAATAAGCAGAAGAATGGATATTTTTATGCATGTTTTCTAAGAAATATAATTTACTTTTTAAGGACATCGAAAATCAACGAGAAAGTGCATGCTACTTAGTCATTTTTTACAAAGTATGGTTTTTGCATGCAACCGGAAAGAAGTTATTTTGATAGCCGGCATCCTAAAATAATTAAATTATTTTAGAATGACGCTGCACGGTGATCTATTTTACAACCTAACTTAATTAATCTTTTCAAAAAGAAAAGGCATCTGGGAATTTCGGTTGACATTTTGTGAGTTAGTCCACCTACTAAACATAAACAGTGAGAAGGGGATGCAGGCTTCACTACTTGTTATAAAAATGAATACAGGATGTTCGGATGGATATTCACCAAAAGACCTGTATGCAAAGGAATATATGCTATTTTTGACGCTCAAAAACTTGGCCTAATTTCGAACTACAAGGCGGAATTTTCGGGATTTTTTGCAGACCCCATAGACAGCCGCATGGAGATGAACGGCCAATAATCACGAAGAGGGGAGCACACCGTTCCATCCCCCTGCCAAGCCAATATGTCACCGCACCCATGGTCTGTGATGTAATCAGCCCTGAAGTCTCCCGCTTTAAGTATCACATTTCCCACTAGAGGTTAGACAGTGCCAAGACCATTCATGATATTAATGGAAGCGAGATCTCGCACTAGGGTAATTAACCACACTTTTAACCTTCCGGTACCGGCTTTCTTAGGTTGAGTCAGTTCAAGAACAGAAATACTCATACTTGAGACGGGGTATTCGGATGCCAACTTCACAGGCGGGCATCTTAACTTTACAGAGGCTTATAAAGTCCTGCATCAGTAGGCACACAAAGACCAAGACAAAACTGCCACATCCGACTTGAGCTAATCGAGTAGACACGCCACGATGTGGGAGCAAAAATTTCCTCATGTCGAACAACAGTCGCAGAGACCCAATCACCCAGCATCAACATGAGGACTCATCAAGCAAGCATTTGTCAAGCGCGCCAAAGGCCGAAGCAACTTAAGATTTAAGAAATCGATTAGTGTGGACCCGACTAGTTCGTCATGCCATTTGCATTTCTACTCGATTTTCTGCATTTGGCGCTTTGACAGTGGTGAGCCGACCAAGTTCTCTTGAATTTCAGTGACTCGATGAGTCTTTTCTTTTTGTAAAATGCAACTTTGGATAATTTTGGTCATTAAGCCGAAAGCCCAGCAGCGGGAACTTTTATTATATGTCCCTTTAATACACTCGCTGAGAGCGAACGCAGCTACATTGGTTAACCCGGGCAGGAATTGCAGACCCGCTTACAGGAGCACAAATCGGTGACTTGGAGGCTAGATCCAAACTCTCAGCTAACAATGCATGTTGAAGAAACTGGGCATACTTTAGATCTTCAGAGAGCTACCATCGTCGCAAAAGTCGAACGGTTAAAACACAAGGTTTGATACTCCGATGCCACCTCAATCAACAGGCATCTGGATCTTCCTGCAGTCTAGAGAGTCCTGCGTTATCACGTCAGTAAAGCTCAGGACCAAGTAACCACACTGAACTTAGGAAGGCCCAATATAGATAGGCCGACGGCGAGTCGGCGAGGGAGGAGAAGAACCACCAGCCCAATCAACCCGACGAAGCGGTGACTCGCAAAGCACACAGACAAAATGTCCAACAACCATCCCCCGAGGGGCCGAGGCAGCGAGGGAAGATAAAAATCGATCAGCACGAGGCAGACCGGCGCGGCAAACCACTTGGAATTTCTAGTCGATCAAGTGCATTTTACGCTTTGACAGTGGGGAGCCAACCAAGCTCTTCGAAACGTCGCACCTAAATAAACGCGGTCCAGTGAGCCCATCTTTTTCATCAAATCATCAACCCGGATCTCTCAACTTTGCCCATCTGAACACTCTCTCTCGTCAGGGAAAATAACACACAAAGGCGCGAATTTTTACTTTCCTATCCATGTAGTCTAATTCCCGGTGGTAAACGGGAGTATAGGCCCCGGCTCTCGATAGATTCCACGAAATTCCTATTCCCGTGTCTCCTAGCTTTAACTCTAACCCTCTGTAGCCTCCGAGCCTAGCCCTAACACTAACTGGAATAAGCCTTACCTCAACATTAATTGTCCTTGGAATGTAAGTGGTCCATACCGCCGTGCCCAATTCACTTTCCTACTAGGGGCTCGAACTCTAGAAAATGGCTCCAAAACCGCCCAATCTGCAATTTCAGGCGGAGATTTTCAAAGAACGCTCTACAGGCCACAGTAATTGTCCGACTTTTGGTGCAGTCATCATCAGTCCACTTGGAGTGAGTCGTACACACCACTGGGATTACATCTTGTGCCAAAATTGGGTGGTCCATTGGGAAAATTAGTTGCGCGAGAGAGCACAGCTCCATAACTGATAGACTGTGTGGTAGGTTATTTCACAGTTTGCGCGTGAATAGCCTTCAAAGGCAGGTAGATTCCGATGGCGTTTGAGTGGGCGTTTGAGTTTGCGATGTACTATTGACGAGCACCAGCGCTTGGACAGATTTAAACAAAGCGAACAAAGGCGGCATTAAATGACGGCAAGTTTACTGAAATATCTAATCCCAAGCATATGCGCCACCAGGCAAAACCGTCGAGGTAATAAGAGAGCATGCATCTGAAACCCGTTCCGACCTAAGAGAGTTGCGTGAGGTACCACGCCTTTTCATTGGGTTTATTTTCAACGAACGGGCGGGTTGACAGTTGCAGCAGGCATCGTCGTCCCCGGCTTCCAGTACAAACTGCTGAAATACTTTAAACAAATTACCTTTTATAGTATCCGGTGGTCACTTTTGTTTTAGGGACAGGTCGAAAGTGCCCACGATGTCCATCACCTGCTCCACAGCAGGAAAGCTGACTTGCGCGTGACTTAGTCTACAGTAGTGGCAAACTTGCGCAGCATCTACCACACACACCCCTCCTTCACCATCTTGGTTTGGTGTCATGATAGCGTCAAGAAGACCGGAGGGCATGGGCGAATGGCTCGGCTAAAATCCGCACGTAGGCATACCACCACACCCCCTCGTCTATAACAAACACCTGGGCAGGATTTTCCCCAAAGAAAAAAAGGCGGCAACTCAAATCACGTTTTCGTGCATTGTGGCCTGTACCTGTTATAAGTGCGCATTCCAAATGACGCCTGTCGGACAACATTCTGGTCATCGCACATGCAGCGTGGCTCGTTTCGGGGACACTTTTGGTTGTAGTCACTAGCCTATGACACGGCAAGTTATTGCTCATTGCAATGAAAGAGCTAGGCTTGAAAATCAACTCCAAGACCGAACAGAAATGTTCAGCTCTGATTTTATCGTGCCATGACGAGAAGACTGATCTACTATGACGTTTAATTGCAGGAAGGTTTACTGGAAGGAGCAGTACTTGTCCAAATTCAAAGTAGGAGAAATCCAGTTTAATGCCTCTTTGCTCTCAACACTAAAGTGTATAACCTTGAGACGATGAAGGACCAAATCGGTTTGTTCTAGGACACCCTAATAGGATGTCATCTAGAAATAACTCCACCCTAGGGAGGCGATATCAAAAGAACCTGTCAGTTTGAAGTAGTCTGCAGGTACCTGCCTCCTATTCCTGGAGACAGAACGTCTCTAACGGGGCCAGACGACGGTTGCTGTAGCTCGACCGTGGAAAGCTCTGGCGTCCACCGGATGTCCCACAGATTAGAAGCAGAACCGTTGATTGGCGCTTGAATAAGTTTGTCCTGGGACAGACCTATTCAGCACTTACCACAGTCTCTCCTTCCTCAGCCGCATCGCTTGGGTAGCATGATAACATCAAGACGACCGGAGGCGGGCACAACTGCAATAGCCAGCGAATCCAAACAACTTGCCGACGCGCGCCCCACACGATCTTGTTCCCACTATTTGCGCCTGGTTACAGTGGGGCGGGTTGAATCCCCACGTGGATGAGAGTGCTGTACAGACCAGAGTATGGAAGAGCCTTTTCACTCTCGCCCTCAGTTCTGATAGCCATCCTGTCAGATGACAGCCTTCCAAGTCAGCATCATCGGTCGTCCATTCGAGCCTGCCGACCAACTAGTGCCGGAATCGGACGCAGTGGCTTACACCGGCCAGTGTCTACTTATAACGGCATGCCACCACCCGCTTGTACAGCATTAAGGGCTCGCGCAGCCACACCGTAGTCCAATAAACCCCTGCAGTGAACTACTCTGGTCCCGATTTTGTCCACCTTTTTTGCAGCACAGCCGGTTGTTCTAAAGCAGCACAACGGCCCGCCAGTCAGACTGCCTAAAATGCCTTTCCCATTTAAGGTGACTCTGTCTTTCCGAGTTTGTACGTCATGACAGATGCGAGCACAAAGATGTTTGACAACTTAACCGGCAGAACGCATGCCAAGTTGGTCCCTGTGAGCGAAAAACGGTGTGGCATGGACCTCAGTGAGAAGGGCAATCGTTCAACACAGGTCACCACATGGATCCGTGACTGGCATCTTCTTACAATGGCTCAAATTCCTCTGTTTTTCGAGACCGCAGCCAAATGGCGGATAAGGTGGAAAACCGGTCTGATTGTTTGATCAGTCCTACTCCGCTCTGGAGACGAAACGCTACCATGTAGCCACGTGTTTTGCCCCATCTAACTAGACGCTCTCACTTGTCTGGCTGGTATTCTGTGACGCCAATCCCCCGCTGATCCTGTCACGTGACTACGCCAGGCCCACCCACGTGGCTGGCTGGGAGCCCCTGTCGTGTATCCGAGGTTCGATGAAAAATCACGAGCTGGGACAGATCAAAGTTGGCCTCCCTAGTGCTGTCGGCCGGGAAATAATGTTGCAAGGAGCGATTAGAATTATGCTCTTCGAGACTGCCGGAAGCACGTCATGACTACAAGTTCATTGAGACTTCTGGAGATTTTGATTCGAATTGACATTTCATCTGTGTAGATAAACGTCTCCTTGCCGATAGAAGCGAACAGACGGCTTCCAGGAAGCAGTTCAGAAGAGGAAGAAGAAGAAGAAGAAGAAGAAGAAGAGGAAGAAGAAGAAGAAGAAGAAGAAGAAGAAGAAAAAGAAGAAGAAGAAGAAGAAGAAGAAGAAGAAGAAGAAGAAGAAGAAGAAGAAGAAGAAGAAGAAGAAGAAGAAGAAGAAGAAGCGATCACCGAAACAAGAAATTTACTGATCTGACGTTTTGAATTCTCATTCGAACCCGTAATCAGAGGCAGTCCCAGATAAAGGCAGTGGAGACTCACAGATTGCAGTATTTGTTTATTTATTTACTTTATAGATGCTGTGGGATCACATGCATATTAGCATTAACAGCTCTCGCGATCGCCGCTTGGGGTCGTGATTGAGGCAATGATGATGGCTGGTCAGTCCGTGTGCGAGTCGTTAATTGTCGCACTTGCATCACCCATGTTGGCGTGATGATTACTGGGCCTTTGGCCCGCTGTCATTGAGACTGTTTCTCGCCCTCACTCCCTTCCGCCCCTCCCCGCAAGTGGCCGATTCTCCTACTCAGGGAATGTCATAGCACCGAATATGGTACCGGAGATCATTGCGCTTGTTGATGGATTGCGGGCCTGGGAACCATGATTCGAGCAGCTCGCGTGCTGAGAACAAGCATGGCGACTTGTGCGTG